TAGGACACATCATCTTTAGGACACATCATCTTTAGGACACATCATCTTTAGGACACATCATCTTTAGGACACACTATCTTTAGCACACATCATCTTTAGGACACACTATCTTTAGGACACACAATCTTTAGGACACACATTCTTTAGGACACACATTCTTTAGGACACAAGATATATTAGACACCTTGTCTGTGGGGCATCAACACCAGAGGAGTGGAGCCGGCCAAAGACCACATTTTGGACACATTTTGTACAACACAATGGCCTTTAAGACACACAGCTTCTCTAAGAAACACCCCCCCCCCCCTCACCTTATGTCCAGGTATTGTGTCGAAACCGTTCCCTTCTTTAAGGTAAAAACTTGCAGCCGATGCAAATGTCCGCCATTTTTAATGAGCCGAACCTTATTCGTCCCCTGAAGTGTGTCCAATCATCACGAAAACCCTAGCTCATTAATTATGCATGTTCGAGTCACGGCAGCCGGCTCTGATTGCGACCGTGAAGTCCAAGTCACGAGAAGATGCAAATAGAAAAAAAGTTGACGATAAAAAAGATCTACTGAAAGTTGAGGGTTTTTAAAATATATAAGTCTGTTTACTAGAAACAAAACAAATAATTATCATGATTGCTGGCTACTGGCTAGGATGTTGTTTTTGTTTTTTTTTCTTTACCTATGTAGCGTTGTGATAAGAAAGTACATGTATTTTACATTCAGCTCCGAACTACTATGTTCCTCATCATCATCCATCGCCAACCAAAGATTTCCAGATAAATTCTGTCCTGTGCCATTTTCTCAACCTGACTCCTGATGTAGTCCATGTTTGTAAACTACTGTCTTGGCAGACAATATATACGCATACGATCTTCACGCTAACAATACATACACATATAACACTACACCTTTGTGTGGATAAGGCATTATAAATATTTCCACGTTTAATACGATTATTTTAGTCCCAAAGCCTGCTTCATCATCATCATTATCCGTTACACCTGCTGGATTATGGGCCGTTAACCCAAGATCAGCCAGAGTTCTCTGTATTGAGCCATTTTTCTCAACCAGACTGCTTTGCATCCGTCCCGTTAAATCCGGATCGGACCCCAACCATAGATAACCAAAGTAAATCGCACTTTTAGACCTTGCGGTCACTATGGCAGATGAACTATACATCATCTGTGCTAGTGACCGTCTGGACCGAAAGCGTATACTTAATCTGTTTTATGTGTCTTCAGTCGTATGCACAGAGCAGATGAACTCTTCTTCACTTGCCCCAAAGACCGTAAGGTTCAAAAAGGGAACTTTACTTTTTTTTTTTTTTATACCAGTAGATCTGAGTTTGAAACCTTGCATTTTCAACACAGTTTGTACTTTATATGCTGTTTATTTTAACATAATTATTTGCAGAATTTACACGTTTTATCCGTGTTTTATGTTTAAAAAAATATAATGGGGGTAGTGACCAAACGGTTTTGCGTAATACGTCCCTGAGTC